TAAAGACATTTTTATTTTGCTGGTTGCTAAGGATGCAAAAGGATTTCAAATAGATTGATGTTGTTTTGCTTAGGCTATTCAACATGTAGAGAATTTTTCTTTTGGCTAGTTGCTTGTTGCTGGATGAAAACGAACTTATTGAATTGTTATAAGTATTTATTTTGTTTATATATTATAACTTTTTATTCTAAATTTTAATATATTGAAGTTTGAATCGATACAATTTATTTGGCTTGAATGTTAAATTTTTAGTTAATTTGAACAGGTTAGATCTTGGTTGAAAAATAAGAGTGAGTTCATCACTAATTTTAAGTATATATAGGGGCCTAATTTTTACTTTTGCCATGGGCCCTAAAAAATTCAAGACCGGCACTGTTCTCGTTCTCCACCTTTTTCTTCCTTTTTTTCACGGCCCTTTTCACCTCCTCTTTTTCCTTGCTCTGTCCTTTTCCTTTCTCATGATCCTTCTCATCAATGTCTTTTTTCCCAGGAGCAAACAACAAAGAATCCTGTAGGTACTCAAATGATATAGAACCCCATGGAAAGTTGTTGAATTCCTCCATATTATGTACTAAGTGTACATAGTCCTCATTGATCCTAACAATGGGGGCTTTCCCCAATATCACAAACTCTACAAAGTAAAGCATTCCCAATTTGAAGCAGTCTTCACTTCCCCTTTTGGAGTTTAAGAATGCTTTTTCTATGTCGTGTAAGGTCATGTGATTCTTGTTGGTGAAATGACGATTAAGCAGCTGATGCACACCACCATCTGCACTACGTATGGAAGGCTCTACTCCAAATTTCAACCCACTAATTAGACAGAAGTATTTTGCAGTGAACTGCACCACTTTGGACCCTATTGCATAACTAAGCCCGTGCATGTTCTTGACACCGAGTCCAGCGACGCGGCGAAGGGCCAGACCATGCACGAGTTGACCACTAAATTGAATTTTATCTACGTCCATCAAGTGCCCAAAGCATGACCCTCTAAATCTTCTCCTGTGTTCTTCATTGAACTGCAACATAAAATTAGAAAGTACAGTACTCGGCACACACAAATTATTTACCCTAGCTGAATACACCTCTGATTCCGGAAAACAAAGTTCGAACCCATATTCCATTTTATACCTGCAACATACAACATGTACCCAAGTTAACATACAAAGTTCAACACGTTCAGATACAAAATCTGAAAGTCATATCTATACTACTCACTATCTCAGATCCCCTATTCAAATGAGAAAAACAAAGCTCTAGCATCTGGTGTAAAAGTAGACATAAATATTAAATATCTAATATATAAACATTGAGATACAGAATCTGGTATCCAAATCCATACTAGTCACGTATTAGAAACACACAAAAATGATACCCATATCCATACTATTTGCACTTTTATCAACACCTTCAGATACAAAATCGGATACCCAAATTTATATTTCTTACCTATTATCAAGATAGAAAAATGATACACATTCAAATTTAGAATATGATACCCAAATCTGTACTACTCAGTTATTGGCAAGATACATAAATGATACCCAAATCCATACTCAGCTATTCGCAAGATACAAAACTGATACCCATATCCGTGCTACTCAGTTATTGGCAAGATACAAAAATCATGCCCATATACATACTACTCGCATACTATCAACACATTTGGATACAGAATCGGCTACCCATATCCATACAGAATCTGGTATCCAAATCCATACTAGTCACGTATTAGAAACACACAAAAATGATACCCATATCCATACTATTTGCACTTTTATCAACACCTTCAGATACAAAATCGGATACCCAAATTTATATTTCTTACCTATTATCAAGATAGAAAAATGATACACATTCAAATTTAGAATATGATACCCAAATCTGTACTACTCAGTTATTGGCAAGATACATAAATGATACCCAAATCCATACTCAGCTATTCGCAAGATACAAAACTGATACCCATATCCGTGCTACTCAGTTATTGGCAAGATACAAAAATCATGCCCATATACATACTACTCGCATACTATCAACACATTTGGATACAGAATCGGCTACCCATATCCATACAGAATCTGGTATCCAAATCCATACTAGTCACGTATTAGAAACACACAAAAATGATACCCATATCCATACTATTTGCACTTTTATCAACACCTTCAGATACAAAATCGGATACCCAAATTTATATTTCTTGCCTATTATCAAGATAGAAAAATGATACACATTCAAATTTAGAATATGATACCCAAATCTATACTACTCAGTTATTGGCAAGATACATAAATGATACCCAAATCCATACTCAGCTATTCGCAAGATACAAAACTGACACCCATATCTGTGCTACTCACTTATTGGCAAGATACAAAAATCATGCCCATATACATACTACTCGCATACTATCAACACATTTGGATACAGAATCGGCTACCCATATCCATACAGAATCTGGTATCCAAATCCATACTAGTCACGTATTAGAAACACACAAAAATGATACCCACATCCATACTATTTGCACTTTTATCAACACCTTCAGATACAAAATCGGATACCCAAATTTATATTTCTTGCCTATTATCAAGATAGAAAAATGATACACATTCAAATTCAGAATATGATGCCCATATCTATACTACTCAGTTATTGGAAAGATACATAAATGATACCCAAATCCATACTCAGCTATTCGCAAGATACAAAACTGATACCCATATCCGTACCGTACTACTCACCTATTTGCAAGATACAAAAATCATACCCATATACATACTACTCGCATACAATCAACACATTTGGATACAGAATCGGCTACCCATATCCATAATAATCAAAATATGATCAACACATACCAACAGAACTGGCTGATGCTTCTTTAAAATATCAAAACTCGATTTGGGAGAAGTTCAGAAATGCAGATTTTGCACATACCGTTGATGATTCTTAGGCAACACTCGATTACGGAGGAGGAGGGAAGGAATGCGCGACTGGAAAGGGTTTTGATATCAGATGCAACACTCGATCATGAAGAAGTTTAGAAATGGGTCTTGAGATGAGAAGTTCAGAAATGGGTGAGAAGTTGATATTTTCCACAAATGAAAACCTCTTTTTTCTTTAATCTGGTTTTTGGGTGAAGTTATGACTTTTGGGTATTTGTTGTCAGATTTTGGGGTTTGCAGATTTTGGGGTTTGCACTGATAATTCATAAATTAATTAAATGGTGCAAGGAATTATAAATAATAAAAAAAGGCGCGCGCGGCAAAAGAGAAACCACATTGCACCCGATTCTACTGTGAGCTTGTTTTTTCTATCCAGCCGTTGAGATCACTTCAATGGCTGAGATAGAGCCCCAAATAGAGGTTCGCAAAAAGATGTTCCCACCTGAGCCGCTCCCTATTATTATTTCCTTTCAACGGTTTACCATGTGCCCCATGGCCCACACTCAAGTTTTAATTACCCATATACATACATCGGTGGTAAGACCCACACATTTATTTAAAAAATAAAAATATCACAGAGCAAGTAATAGGTTTAGTAATATCACAGAGCAACAAACGAGAGATGTAAAAAATTTATACCTCTTTTTACCGATTCCACCCATTCCAACTTTCTGTTAACCAACGATACTATGCCTCTTCTTTTTCTTTTTCTTTTTCATGGCTTTGATCTGCAAAATACAACATTAATATTCCTTTTAGTAGCAAGAAATGTCAAAAATGAAAGAAAAAGAATTCATGTATTGAAACGTATAAATTATGTACCTCAAGTTGATCGTTAGGCATGATGGTTGAGAGTTTTGTATTGTGTGGAATTTGCTAATTAATGGGTAGGAAGGAGGAGACTTGGTTTCAGTTTTGTGCTTGCTGAAGAGAGAGAGAGAGAGAGAGAGTTAGTTTTGATCTGGAGGCAGTGGGGAAGTTGAGGTGAGGGGGGTGAGGGGTGAGAGTGAATGTGGTGAGTTGGGGAGTTTATATAGAAAACTACAAGGCTTTGTCTCCTCAATAAGTACTAGAAGGCTTTGTCTTCTCAACGAGTAAAGACAAAGGTGACCATGTTGATGAGGATGTAGCAGCAGCCAAACAGAAGAAAAAGAAGAGTAAAACATGCATGTGATGTCATACTAGGTAAATTATTTTTCATAAAACAAGCAATAAAAAGATTATTAGTTATTTTTCATAGAGCAAGTAATAGGTTTAGTAATTCATAAACAATTATAAAGTAGATTATTAGTCATGTATAATTCATAAAAAGAAAATACATAAACATTTTTATCAAACAAACCCATTATGAATTTATTGTTAAATTTTAAAAATGTTTCTGAATTAATTCCTTCATTCATTACAAGTTACAATCATTTGGAGATCTTTCCAAATTAAACGTTTGTTATATACAATCTAATTAAAAACTGTTTCCACATTGATTCATACGTTAATATACAAAGTACAATAATGACTTAGTTGAAATATTTTGGAATCTGAGAAGTACAATAATAAATGGGGTTTACTAGTGAAATACCCCCTGAACTTGTACCTAAGTTTCAATTAGGCCCCTATCCTTTTTTTTTAGAAAATTAAGGATATGAACTTTTTTTTTTTGCCAATTTCCCCCCTGCCGTCTAAATCATCAACATTTCATCCAATTTTCTGTTAAATCATTAAAAATAAATTTCTTTTTTTGGAAAAATTTTTTTTAAAAAAAAAGAAGAAAAAAAAATATATGGCCCAGCTCATCTCTATCTCTCTCACTGAATCCTCTGTCAAACCCCAAGCTCACAGGATTTGGAAATACAAATCCACCTGATTCAAACTTTTTACTCTTAAAAAGTATGAAAAATAAAAATAAAAATGGAAGAAAAACCAAAGCAGGTACCCAAAGTCCCAACCCACCTAGTGCTGACAGCAACTCTCTCTCCCACATGAAAATTCTCATTCTGATTTCCACCAAAACCAACTCCAGCCCCAGACCCCAGCCACCCCATGCCGGACCCTTTTTCTCCCTCATCCCAAAACTTATCAAGACACCTATGGAAGTTTGGGGGGAGAAGGGGGTTGGGAAGATGATGGTGGTTGTGGTGGTTTGGTTGTTGTATTTGTGAGAGGGATTAGGGAAGATGATGGTAGGGCTAGGTGTGGCTACCAACCACTCCAATTCCATCACAGCAGCCAGTGACCCACCCCCTTCCCCGAACGCAACCCACCCCCACATCTAAAAATTGAAGAAAAAGAAGAAAATTGACCCCAAAAAAAAAAAAAAAAA